TGATGGAAGAATTAAATTCAGGTTAAGACTGTCCGATTTGTTCGTTTCTGAAACTGAATCCGACTAATTATCTATGGTTCATCTAATTATTATTGTGCTCAATGTCATACTTACAACCGTGTTGACATTGTACTGTAGAATAATAATGCGTTCTTTTCGTATTTAAATGATATCACTCATAGACCTGGGTATCACTGAACAATCTCAATAGTAACCTCAAACTTTATAGTACTATCTGCAGGGATTTTTCTTACCGGCAGAATTGAATTGTACACTCCAAATCGATGTTGGAGACCTCATGCGGTGACAGTGAGAAACTTGTATTCCTTTTACCGCGCCATTTGCGCCACGATCGCCACCCACCCTGCACGGCTTGTAATCATTGACGTATATTCATACGTCAATGCTTGTAATAAAATATTGATAATATAAATAAAAGTCGTAATGTCGACCCATCTGCTTCGTTGACTGTTTCTAATAATAGTACATTTGTGAACCGTGATACTCTCATCAAAATGATTCCTCCCTAAATTCGCTTTCGGATTCATTCACAAGTTGGGAACCTTATGATACCACTTGATATGTACGTCAGTGAGACTGCGCAGAAGTTTGCGCGTGCGCGAATAATTCTTGCAATCCTCCCATCACTGCAGCAAACTAGCTTCATCTTCCGACTCTCCGTCCTTCAGAGATTCCTTCATGTATCGCACCAATGTAGGTACATTTCCTTTGCCTTGTAAAAATATTATCGTCGTACGTTAATTATTGAGACTAACAGAATAAGATAGACTCGCGGAGCGTACGCTTTGTAGCAGAATGGCCAGCCACAGAGGGGAAACGTGGACGGGCTTCGACAAAATTGTCTCAACGAAAGACAAACTACCTCCGTGAATCAACCGACGATGACAATCTCGGAACAATTCAGGGAGTCGTGGCTAACAGCTATAATTGGGTCCGTCATGTTTGCCACTGGAATGTGTCTTCTATTCTGGAATGAGGTTTGTCAATGACACTCCTGTCATGTACTGTCCAATTGACCTCTTGTAATTTGTACACTCTTCACCCTTTCAGGGGAGAGCTGTGAAAGTGGCGCATTCCTTGGACGAGGCTCTGCACAATGTGGTTGTACTCCCTAATTCCATGACGTTGTCACCTGAATACGAGGGTCGTTTGATACATTTGTCAGGTACCTTATCGGTCTCTGAACCATTAACTGAGCCAGATTACGGCATCGTCATGTCCAGCGTGAAGTTGAAGAGGAGGGTTCAGATGTACCAATGGGTCGAAATTGAGGAAGAGCAGAGGTAGCGATGAGAGACTCTGCGTGCGATCAAACTTTAGTCACATTTAAAAGCAAAAATTGTCTTCGATTGGAATTTGACTTTATTTAATATAGCTTATTGTCGGGTTTTCCATGTTAAATAAAAACTATTGCATTTTAGTTTATCAAATCTTTACGTTTCTAGTTTTGGTGGAATAACGGAGGAGCAGAAACATTACTATTACACCACAGAATGGAAGGACAAACTTGTAGACTCGGATCAATTCTACATTCGTACCGGCCATCATAATCCAAAGGAAATACCGATAAGAAGCCAGGTGCAGATTGCAGATGAAGTGAAGATTGGCGTTTTCACGCTCGGCATGGAATTGAAGAAAAAGTTCAGCGACTTTGTCGAAATCACTAGCGATGAGCGGCCAGAGCGGAAAAACATAAAAATGCATTCCGGGCTGTATTATCACAGCGCAGATTTATGGAATCCACAAGTATGTCATTTGCCAACGTTTCCTTTCTCCAAAAGAAATTCGAAACTATTCGGAACTTGTTATAGGGTGTCTCGAAATTCGAGGATAACAAGATTGCAGCACGAAAGTTCGTAAAAGATTGCGTAGTAAAAGCACACGCCATTTTTTAAGTAAAGTTCTGTCTTATTTTTTCCTATTTTCCTCCTTTCGCTTTTCTCACACTTTATTCTTAGACTTGCTGCTTCTTCGCACCACTTCTCTCGCATACATTTCCACTGCTCTTTTAACCAAGTATTATTCGGAACATATTAAGAATTTGTTGCAAAATTTAATGTAAAAATAAAAAATTTTGAAAAAATTTATTTTAGAAAAAAGATTTTTCCACTTTATCAAACCCATAGAAAATTACTGGGGTCTCTCCATATTGAGATAATTGTCATTCAATTTGGATTGTAAAAAAAAACAGTTATTTTGATTTGTTGTATATAACTTGCTTTGCTCACAGGTAGGAGACATCAGAATACAATTTTCCTATGCGGGAAAAAACGGAGATCTTTACTCGGTAGTCGGCTTGCTGGAAAAGGATACCATAAAACCGTATTACACATCTCATGGTGAAGAAATCTTACTTCAACGAAAGCATAAGATGTCGGTGGATCAGATGTTTCATTTGGAGCACGTGCATAATTACTGGCGAACCTGGGCTGTCAGGTAATATTTAAAAATAAATATTTTACATAAAATAAATGCAAATGTTTATCATTCATTATATAGTCTGATTTAAAAAATTAATCTTTTAAGGTAGTTGTCTCCAGAATTTTATTTATCAAAAAATTTTGAAAATTAAACTGTATGTTAATGTATATGGTATTTATACCGGGTGAGGAAAAAGTATGGAAACCCCTAAATTTTTCGAAAATTATGCATTTTAGAAACAAATGTTTGAGACAAAAGTGTATGGTTTCAAGGGGGACATAAGATGGTGTCATTAATTTGACCTTGAATAGTTGCTTGAAGGTCACCTCGAATTTGCACACAAAAAGGGTTCCAAATATCTGGAGACACCTTGTATATATTTTAAAATTAAATATTTTTTAAAAATAAGTTTAAGTGAACTATCTTATATTACATATTATTATGGGAAAGAAGACATAGAATATTATAAATTATATATTATTTTTATGAAAGTAACATTATTATTGATTATTATTATTAATTATATTATTCTTGTTACAGAGGACTTGGATGGTTGGTCTTGTTTGTGGCAGCAACATGCTTAGCAAATATACTGAAAACAATTATATTAAATTCGACGTTCCTTTGTGGTATAATAGCAGTTGAGTCTCTGACTATGTCAGTCTCCATGTCTATCAGTTTATTGGTAATCGGTTTCGCTTGGGTGTGGTATCGACCGATCATTGGTCTTTGTTTAGCAATAGCATCTATTTTGCCATTCATTTATTCGACACTGATGTCGGCGTCTACGTCTCAACAACGTGATAATTATAGAAGATTATAAGTTACATTCATATGCCAAAGAGGTTTTTTGAAAAGTAATAAACTTCCTTATTTATTCAATGTATCATTATTTATTTAATCTCTCCTTTTCTTTTTCTATATTTTTGTTTTATACATCTGTATGTTTTTAAATTATAAATGACACATATACAGGCAATATTGCGATAGATTTATACGAAAGAGAAAAGGAGCTATATAGTTTTTGTATTAGTAGTAAATAAAAAGACAATATGGAAGAATTAATCCTGTGGATAATGTTTTTGTGTTCTGCGAATTCTTTTCCTTTTGAACCTCTCGATAAATCAGTATCGACATTTCTAGAATCCTATTGTGAATAATTTATGTCATGACACGATATTGCAACTTACAATCTCGTGGTCAAGCAATGTCAACCATTTTAAGCTTTTTAACGTTAGAACTTGGAAGGTTTAATTAGTGAAGATGTAATTTCTGACAATTGGATTAAAGCACGAACTGTGTACATTGTCTCATTGCCCTTTTATTTATTACTAATTTGCATTATCGAGATTATTTTATTCATTTATATATTTATTACTTAAAATAAGAACGTGTTAGAAAAATTGTTAAACGACACTAACTGGCAAATTCTAATTAAAGGAATTTATTGCGAAAAATACTACCTCAGGCGGGCGTCTCACCAATTCGACCATTGAGGTATGTGGTAATATTTATCGCAATAAACAGTATTAATGATGACATCTACGCTTTTATTTGTCGACTAGAACTGCGCGCTGATCCGCACGCTTACATTTTTTAATCAACTTGGCGTAATACGACACACTGTTCCGTTACTTAGGAAAATTAACGAAGGAAAGGTCACAAGGCGGCATCCGGGCAAATTTGACGTACATCCTCTAATCACGGAACTGAATAAATAAATTTGAATTACACACTTAAAAAACATCAGAAGCTCAACGACGCAGCATAAAAAAACAAGATGCCTCTTTGACCTCTTGTAACAGACATCTTAACTTACTTATCTGGTGGATATCTTTTTTCATTACTCAAAAAGGTGTCTTTAAAAAGGCCTGTGTCCACGATGCTGGGACTTGGTCCAAGTTCTAGTTTCGAGAAATGTGTAGCCAATCAACTTGCAGCTCTTCTGTAAGAGATGCAAGTTGATCGGCTACACATTTTTCAAAGCTAGAACTTTGACGCAGTTCTTGGATCGTTGGGAAACAACAGCTATGTTTTTATACAGAGTCGTTTGTATTTCGTATGAATAATTATGAAGTGTGATTGAAGAGGTTTATGAGTGATTCAGGCAATTTATTTAAAAACATTTAATTCGGAAGTTAGCCGAAAAGCGTAATATAGAGATCAGTGATAACGAAGAAAGGAATGTCAGGTTCAAATCTCACTTCCGTGGCGGGACCGTCGAGCGCGCTCGGCGCGCCCGCGCGTGAATGCGTGCATATATATATATGTATATAATATGTCGAATCACCTCTTTCTCGCGCGCGCGGATATCGCCTATCGCCTGACGTCTGGCGAAGATGGCGGCGAGTGGCGGCGTACGTCTCCTGCTCCTTGGAGTTCTGTGTACATTTCTCTCGAAACTATGCAATGGCGCGGCGACGGACATCAAATTGGACGCCAAGGCGCAACTGTTGCATCGACTCGACAGCCTCAATCTCCTGCTCTACACGTTCCTATTGATATTAACCGTTTTAACGATATGGATGTTCAAGCACCGCCGCTTGAGGTTCCTCCATGAAACTGGCCTGGCTGTCATCTACGGTGAGAGTCGTCTGCTATCAACAACTCGCGACCGTTTACTCTTTACCCTTTATTACCGTATGACTCGAGGTAGTTGTGACAGGAGCGAACCGCACGAGCGTGCGTCGTCGTGAAAACCTGCGCCGCGTTTACCCAACTTTTTGTCTATTTATGGGAGGACAACTTGCAAATTTTTCTACACTCGCTTAACCCGTATAAAGCCCGCTGCAGACGATGCTATTTTTCCTGCTGGATTGCTTGCGATTTAGTAAATTACTATCATTGCACCACTCAGCATTCAGGATTCCTAGTAATTTACTAAATTGCAAGCAATCCAGCAGGAAAAATAGCATCGTCTGCAGCGGGCTTAAGTCGATCTCCGCGCTCCAAGTTTCGAATTGCTCTCTGTCTTTTTACGTACGAAGAAATGGTAGAAAATCATTGCAACACATGTAACAATAAATATTGTTAGCGTTACATCTAATAACCTAAAACTTATGGGAGATTGAGATTTGTGGAATTGTTGCTGGTAATAACAAGCTTTCTCAGATCTTGCATATTTATATTATTTACATTACTTTATTGCCTCTGGACATTCGAATATGAGAAAGTTAATTCCAAGAAATTCGCTTGTACTTGTTTTGATCCTCAAGATTTTTCTCGAAGATAAATTCGTCAATATTATTATTTACTCCCTGGCATATCTGCTTTATTGGCGGACATTAGTACTATCATTTTTATTTCGTAGAGTTTATTCTTAGTTTTGGATCTGACGCGAGGTTAAATGCAACAAAATTTCAATTGGTGCAGCTGACAGCATGCCAAGGATGGTCCTAGAATAATCTTCATTTAGGACAAAATTGCAGGTTTGATCATAGGCGCGATAATACGTTATGGGTTCGCAACGAGCAGCACTATTCTGCATATGCCGGTGGTCCCGGACAATTCCAGCAAGTACAATCAGTCTGTACCGCCGGACACGCTGTGGCTACGTTTCCCAGAAGACAAGGGCGGCGGTATCGTAAAGAACAAGACATTCGCGTACTCGTTTCGCGGCGAAATCTACAAGGAAGATAACGAGATCGACTTGAAGGTGACTAAATCCTCCTTGAGACGATAAGTCGTTGTTTGTCTGAGGAAAGTGGTCTGACGGTTTATCGTCGAGCTTCGATAATTGTACATAAAATCCGAAGTTATTTCACTTTTCAATTGATTGAGTACGGTTATTATTGTTGCAGGCGACCTTCGATCCCGAAATATTTTTCAATATCATACTGCCTCCCATTATCTTCCACGCTGGATACAGCTTGAAGCGTGTAAGTGCCATTGACTTGCTTCTATCCGTGTGAGGTAGACACAACAATGAGATAAACAATTTGCGATTGCTATATGTGCACGCGGAGAGAATCTTTTCCTAAAATTTATCCTGAAAGTTATGTAGTCGTGAGGCAACATGGCATTTCTCGAAGAATTTTATGAGTTTTCTTAAATTTGACCATACATTTTACTAGTAGAATGTACAGCAAAATTTCAAGAAGCTTCAGAATGCCATGTTGTCCCACAGTTACGTGACTTTAAATTTCAAGGGAAATTTCTCTCCGTGTATAATTTCGTGATAGATAAACTTTTGCAGAGATACTTCTTCAGAAATCTGGGCGCGATTCTTATGTATGCTTTGATAGGAACCTCAATATCAGCCTTCGTTATTGGGTAAGTTCTCTCTATAACATAATTTTATTATGGAGACCTTGAGAGAAAAAGTCACATCTCGTACTTTGATCCAGCTTATCTGCTTCTTCCCTCAAGTTGCTCATAACTGAAGGCTATTCGCGTTTTTCTCTTTTAACGATTTGTAAATCTTATTTCCCTAATAAGAACTGTCTTATCTATGCAGAGCTCTGATGTACGCCTTTGTGCAACTGATACCGCATCTCTCCACATCGTTCACGTTTCTGGACACCCTGTACTTTGGCGCACTGATATCCCCTACGGATCCCCTGACAATAATCTCCATCTTTAACGATCTACACGTAGACGTTAATCTGTATGCTTTGGTGTTCGGCGAGAGTGTGCTAAACGATGCGGTTGCTATTGTACTTAGCGGGTTAGTACGTAGAATGGTCCGCGGGATTAAATTGCATTTTCCTCGATTTGCCAATTCTTTGGTGAAATTGATTCTTGCCGCGAAGAAATTGAGAATTCGAGATCGGCCTCGAAAGACGCGCAGAGGCAGATCCCATGTACAAAAAGCGGATGTTACTTTGATTTATTTAATACGTTTAGTTCTGTAATTTAGCAGCTGTTACGTTTAATACAAACGAAGTATACATAAATTCTGTTATCTCAGCTCGATACAGAACTACGCGGAGCGATACCAGTCGGGATCAGGTGGTTTTGAGACCGTGGCGTTCTTCCAAGCGTTCGGGGACTTTGTTGAAATATTTAGCCTGTCCCTCTTCATCGGCGCTACCATGGGATGTATTACCGCGTTACTGACCAAGTTCACCAGAGTGCGGGACTTTCCTCTCTTGGAGTCGGCGTTATTCGTCCTGATGTCTTACAGCACGTTTCTAATCGCCGAAGCTGCCGATCTTACAGGTAATTCGCAACGTTTGTGTGTTAAAGCTGCTAGTCTCTCATTACAATTTATGGCAATAGAAAAGCGAAAGATAATGCAAATCTTTTTTCCTCAATAATCAGTATCTGTTAATAAAAATACTCATTTGTTTCCATGCAGAAAGAAGTTTCTTTCAATACCTCTTTGAAGAAAAAAATAACTAGAAACAAACTTTATTTGAGAACAGAATTGAAGAACGGCAAGCATTTTGCATGAATCTGACAAATGTTTTATTACGAAATTTCAGGTGTTGTTGCCGTTCTCTTCTGCGGAATATGTCAGGCTCATTACACGTACAACAATCTGAGCCCGGACTCGCGCCAGCGCACGAAACAGCTGTTCGAGTTGTTGAACTTCTTGGCGGAGAATTTCATATTCAGTTACATCGGCGTCTCGATGTTTACTTTCCCGAAACACCATTTCGATCCTGGCTTTATCTTCGCAGGATTTGTATCCTTACATCACGTATACATATAGCGCCGCTGGATGTCCTTTTTCTGATTGATTCCAGGACGATTCTGCGAGATAATCGCTTCAGTTTCACGCGGCGTTGCATAATTATTTCCAGTTTCTACCAATGCAGACGAACTTCGACTCACTCTGTACCTTTTTCTAGTTTTAAAAATGAGAAAAAGATGAGAAGTGATTTAAGCCGAGACTAAATTTAATCTGCAGTGGTAGAAACGGGCATATGTCGAAAGAATGTCACGCGATAGATCATCGAGTTCTCTCTGATTAATTTAATTCATAAAATATTGTAAATCCTTAACGCAATGTCCTCAGTTGTGCGCGTTGCTGGGTCGCGCAGCTAATGTTTATCCATTATCCTTCATACTGAATCTGGCGCGAAAGCCGAAGATATCGTTGAACTATCAGCACATGTTGTTCTTCGCTGGTTTGCGCGGCGCCATGAGCTTCGCTCTCGCCATCAGGAACACCGTGTCGGAGGCCAGGCAAGCTATGCTGACCACAACCAGCTTGATCGTTATACTGACGGTTATTTTCCAAGGTGGCGCGACAACACAGTTTTTAAGCTGGTTCAATATTCCGTGAGTGAAACATCTTAATGTAACACCAGTTTGTTTCTCTATGTTTGTAAAAAACTATACGAGAGAAAACAAAGAATGTATTTTTTTTTCTGATACTAATAACTCGTTTCTACACGTTTGATTGATTGCGAATACAATTGTTTGCGTTTTCTGCTGTATTACTTAAACTGTTGTTTCGTTTGCAGAGTCGGAGTAGATGAGGAAATAGAAGGACTTTCTCATAATGGAACGCGCAGTGTAAGTATGACAATTTTCGTCCCACAATCGTGTTCTCTATGCTATGTAGAAGAATTAGAATCATACGATGCAAAGAATAGAGACCTACGTTGTGTAGGTGTTTCATACACACACCCACATACATACATATATGTATATACATATGTATACAATGCGCGCGCACGCGCGCCTCTCTCTCTCTCTCTCTAACATGTTCATGCGTTTTACATAATTTCTACTGTACATGGCTAACAATAAGTATGATCAGTAGTTAGATTAATCGGTTGTCTCGATTCAGCGAAATTTTGCATGCGTAAAACGATGTTCTTGTACTCTGTGGAATTATAATTAAGAATATTTGCTTTAGAAAGATATGAGAGCATTTTTGCATGCAAGCTTCACTGGTTCGTCACGTGGTATAACGATTTCTTTTTACGGTGTCGCTTTCCTCCGGGTGTACAATTCATTGGACACTGTCGGGCTGCGTACCGATCAATTGAGTCTCATTAATTGTGAAATTGAAGCTTACAATTAGAGAATTTTGTTTTGCTACGCTCCCGTTTATTTCCTTTTCTTTAGTGTCGGCAAAGTAGTATCATATATTCAGAAAGTTAACAGTGAACAATGCCATATTGGTTGAATAGAGAAATTGCTCTACCGAAATGACATCTAATCCCCGCATCCCCGAACTGGCACACATGCTTGTCGCGTTACACTCGACAATGTGAATTATAAATATTCGCGGTTAAGAGAACGCGCGCACGAGTACTGCGATTTACAAGACAATTAATTTGTCAATGTTGATAGTCTGGCGGCGAGGGTGGCTACGATGATCTGGACACACATAGGGGAAGAAGTCCGCCGGTATGTTATTACAATTAAAGGTTGAATTGACGCACCATCTATTTTGACAAATTGAGAAGATAGACGACTTGATATATATATATTTTTTTTAAATGTATTTGGTGACTCACCTCTCACAGATCGATTTATTATTCACATCGCAAAAACAACGAGACATATTAATATACATATGTAAGCGCATATGTAGCTCACGCAGCACGAATGTGCCACGTATCACTTTTGTAGCTGCATGCACCAAGCATCGCTTGATATCTATATTGAAATGGAAACTGATTTTTTCCCTCGCTATTTGTTGTAGCATGTGAATGCGGATCTATTGATTTATATGATTTCTCTGTCCATATGCAAGTTGTAGATTGATCTTATTGAGGATCTTAAATCGATTTTGTTGACTGCATTGTGCTTCTGGTTATTTTTTCAGTATGGTTTTTGTTATCCATTCTGTATGTTAAAGAATAGCTGGAGAACACTGAGATACTTACATTTGTTAACAGTACCTACACATACATGTTTAATACGGAACACGAGAATCACTATAAATAAGTAGGCATGTACTTTTCATAATTAATGACGAAGATAATTCCGAACATCCAAAAAGGGATATTAATATGTTGTTATCGTTGTTATACACTTTTACGCTTAAAAAGGGAACAATTAAAAGTGATATGACTAAAGTAATTTGATCTCGTTGATAAATATATGTTACTAATAGAGGAGTGTCCACTCCCGTTTAAATATTAAAGATGGAAAGCTCGCAGAATCATACAGGATGGATAACTGATGCGTTGTTCACATTTCACAGTATAATTCTATGCAGGACGGATCGTTGCCAGGCGGCGGCAGCGGCAGCGGCGGCGTAGGCGGCACAAAGCCTAACGAGAAGGCATTGCTCGCTAGAATCTGGGGCGACTTCGACACCAAATACATGAAGCCCCTGTTAACGCACTCCAGGCCTACGTTATTGGAAACGTTGCCGGTCTGTTGCGGTCCGCTGGCGAGGATCCTCACGACCACGCAACAGATGACGCAGGTACAGTGTTGTTCAAATTCACTGCATACTGAAAATCTCATTTTATTAATCAATTAGTCTTTATTATGCGTTAGTATACAGTCACGAGGTGGAACGTTGGTTTACAATTCGGACTTGATACCTCTCTCCTTCAAAAGTGCCATGTTCTTTCTTCCTCATGTCCTCCTTGTTTCCTTGTCTCCTCTTAAATTTTTTATAGGCCTAGCTCTGTTCTTTTTCTTCTATCCGCTCTATCTCCTAACGGTAATTTTCTGTTGAACACTAATTTTATTACTTTTATTACTCTATACCTACCTTTTGTTACTCTCTTGCCCTCAGCCTTGTTGCCCCACCTTTACCTTGGTTTCTGTATTAGCTGTTATCTCTTTGCGTTTCCTTTCCATCCTCCACGTCTCTTCGATCCTTCTTATCTTCCCATTGCCAGCTGTAATATTTGCAATGTCTGTCACATCGTTGGAATATAATACGAAATAATTTAAAGTGATTTTGCCATATTTTTAACGGTTATATTTACATCGCGATAGGACGAGGTTGCAAGAAAGGTCGATTCGGACTCAGACTTCTGCTTGGAAGATCGCGAGATGGAGCGACGCAGGACCAGCGTTCAGCCGGTGAGTTTCCATCAGCCTAATCTCAATTATACTGTTAACCCGTGCTATCAGCCTAACAACAGCACCACAGACGTCAGCACTAATCCGGACGAGCCCTATGTAATTCTCAATTTACACAGAAGGTAGAACTAACAGCAATCCTAACACCACCACCTCTTGTGTATCTAAATCTGTTTAGACAGAAGGGAAGGAAAGAGGAAGACTGGAAGAGTCGTTATATTTCTCGTTAAACTCGCGTTAAACGCGGAATTATAATTTACTTAGCTCTTGTGTAACTTATTTGTATTCGCGTTCGTTCATCATAGCTGTGATTTGATTTCACTAAATATTTCACGGTTTTTCGTTTCACACGAGGTGAATGACGTATCTGACAATTAAATCTCACGGTTCATTTCTTTATTAAATTCTAACTCTGACTGCGAGTGTAAACAGCAATAGCCTGTGGCTACGTGTGTGTACACTGTACATGTTTACGCATGTTCTCCATACTGTATGTATAAGCAATGCAGACAATACATAGAGGAGATGTAATCACAGGAACGTCGCTTTACAATCGCCTCGTCTTTCTTTCGTTCTTTCATGTAAAACACGAGCTTGAGTGTCTATCGCACGTAAGACTAATTTTATCTGGACGATGTAACTTCTCTTCTTTTCGAATTCCGTGTTGATCCCTCGAGTGAAACGGCAACGGCGACAGGAGTAATCGAGGGATTCGAGTGCAATGGCAGCTTAATTCAGAAAACAGTATTTTTTAAGGGAGGGGCAGGAAATAGAGTTTAACAAAGTTACAAAGCCAGTTTCAAAGGAGGAAAATTGGGTCTACAAGCAAGTAATTTACATAATGTAGTGATTGTAATGATGACTTGTCATCGGTTAAACAGTGAAATCTCAAGCTTTATGCTGCTGTCGCACTTGATGTTCCTAAACGATAACAGCATCTGTAAATACATCACGAATTTTTAACAAATCTGCTTGCTTGAGAACGAGGGAGAATGTACGTATGCTGTTTGTTAATGCAAGCCAACTTTTTTCCACTCTGCCCAAATCTTACTCTAACTACAATGCGTTCATTGACAAACGGTGACATGTTAATGAGCCAATCGCTGTTGCGTGCGAATGATTCCTTGTGACTGCGTATTCTTTTCTATCGAAGTGATATTTTATAACTGTCCCTGATGGAAATATTTTACTGAAAATATTGTGTAATTTTGCTGAGATGTATGTGAAAATCTTTCTTCGTAAGAGACCCCGTTTTATTATCATTTCATCAATATTTCAGTAAAAGCTTCAGTGAAAAATCACTTTTATTAAAACATAACAGTTTTCAGTTAAATTCAGTAAATTTTAAATCTAAAATATATCTCCTGAGTTTTTATTACAGTATGCGTTAACGTTCCTTATATCTCACAGTATTACATTGCATTACACAAGGAAAATTGTGATTCACTTTAAGATATATATATATATATATATATATATATATATATATATATATATATTCAGTGATTTCTCAATAACTTTCAGTTTTCATTGATTTTATAGTATTTTCAGCAAAGCCTCTCCATCAGGGCGTGCGGTAGATAACTATTCTAGTCAATGATTGCCTACAAGGACACATAATAAGAACTAACGAATAGACAATAGCGCGTGACATTTTGCACCGCACAACGGCGGGGTAAATTTTTCATTTGTAAACTCGAAAATTATGTTTAATGTAAAGAGGCAAAGCTTCTCCGGCCCATTTTGTTTTTGCGCTTGTGTGTATTCTCGCCTCTCTTCTCTTTAGAGGGAAAAAAATCACAGTCGGACATTTGCGGAGCGCACGTTTGATCGCACCCTTTTTTTTTCATCGGTTTTTCTAGAGAGAGAGAAACGATGACAGTGATGATGATGATTCCAATTCCGATGACGAAGACCTCAGACTCATCGGAATGGAGGGATTAATTCCATTACGAACGTTGTAGCCGGGAAAGCGATCGGCGAACGATCTACGTGTACCTAACAATAAGGCCGGTACAGCGAAAGACAGATTCTTCTCGTTGAGCAATTGCGAGTAGGTCATGTCGCGCGGTGATTTTTCCGAAAGTATTAACATATACGTAGTAGCGTTAATGTGGAGAGCAGACACGCCACTTTGTCGGTTTTTGTTCCGAGTTGCATATATTCTTGTATACACAGAGAGTGTTGGAGGAGGAGGAATTTCGGGGCCCTGTGAGCATGTAGTGCTCATTGAACTGAAGATAAAAGATACTCTTTTAATCTCGACAGAACGTCCCTCGATTTACTGAATGTATTTCAAAAGAAATCGTAATTTTTCTTATGAAATTTAATGTAATATAAAGTGAAGTATGTATATAAAAAAAGTTAAAGTATACTGTTGGAACATAATAACCAATTTGTGAAATTTACTGACAAGTTTAACTGGAAACTCTGTTACTTTTTCATGGAAAATTTTTGAAATAATGTTTCACTGAAAGGATGAAATTATGAAATGACAATGAAACGAAGTCGATTGAGAGGACTTTTTAACTACATATGTTCTCAAAATTTTTCCACTAAAGTTTCTCGAAATTGAGTTTTAACGTGCAAGTGTCGCGGGCAGACACTCCTACAATTCTTCCTTCTCTGAACACCGAAACGTTTGCCAAACTCATCGCAAGGCTCGAGCCATCGAGCATTAAACATAATTTTCAGAAGCGCGTTAACTCTAATCGCGCGAAAACTTGACTGCGACTGGCAATGTAAAGACGGTGAGGACATTGAGGCTCCGTTGCTGCTGTGATCTTTTAATCCTGCCTCCGCGAGGCTCGTTCACGCTCGGTGAAAAGTTACTATTCATTTGTAAGCCGACGCAAGTGGACAAAGAAATATTCGCACATATCCTTTTCCGAAGTAACTTTTCGCGAAAGTGCAATTTTCCTAACAGGAATAAATATCCAGTAAACACGACAACTAACAGTTACATAACATAAATATTATAATTTCCCACGCAACAATGTAGCTATTAAGCCTAATCTACAACGTACTCTTTGCATCTGGAAACATTATATTTTGTAGTCGATAGATACACTTGAAACCTTTGTGCAAGTTGATAAATTACATATTGCACATTGCACAATCGTACATTGTCGGCAAATGTTTGAAGCGCTTTGACTTGTTTATATAAAATAGAATGTTTCTAGATGTAGAGAGCACATTGTAGATTAGGCTTTATGTGAGACACGTGTTAT